ACAGAACACCGAGCAACGCCGCGATTGCTTGACGATGTCAGGGAGGGTGGGGGGGAAGGGTAAACATGCCCACTCAATCCAACTGCCCCCCCCCCCGAACGCCGCGCTGAGTGTGTGAGTCTGAGAGTGTGAGAGTGTGTGTGTGTGTGAGTCTGAGAGTGTGTGTTTGTGTGAGTCTGAGACTGTGAAAGTAAGTGTGTGTTTGAGTCTGAGAGTGTGAGAGTGAGTTTGTGTCTGTTAGTCTGAGTGTGAGAGTGAGTGTATGTGGTGTGTGAGTCTGAGAGAGTGAGAGTGAGTCTGAGAGTGTAAGGGTGAGTGTGTGTGTGAGTCTGAGAGTGTGTGTGAGTCTGAGAGTGTGAGATGTCAGTGTCTGTGTGCGTCTGAGCGTGAGTGTATGTGTGTGTGAGTCTGAGAGTGTGAGAGTGTGTGTGTGAGTCTGAGAGTGTGTGTGAGTCTGAGAGTGTGAAAGTGAGTGTATGTGTGTGTGAGTCTGAGAGTGTGAAAGTAAGTGTGTGTTTGAGTCTGAGAGTGTGAGAGTGAGTGTGTGTCTGTTAGTCTGAGTGTGAGAGTAAGTGTATGTGTGTGAGTCTGAGAGTGAATCTGAGAGTGTAAGGGTGAGTTGTGTGTGAGTCTGAGAGTGTGAGAGTGAGTGTATGTGTGTGTGAGTCTTAGTTACCTAGAGTGTTATACAGGCAGGAACAACAGGTTCCACACTGCCACCAGGGGTTATTTGTCTGTCTGTCGTGCATATCCGGAATTCTGCCCACCCATGCACCTCCCCGAGGCCTCGGCAAGGTAAGGTAACAGTTATAAAGTAAAACGAGCCTACCTTTACCCTACCTTTTACCTTACCACAATACAATCACTCTACCCTTACATTTTACCCTTAGCAGGTAAGGTAAAAAGTAACGAGCCTACCTTTTACCCTTACCCCATACAATTACCCGATTACAGGGTAATTACTAGGGTACTACACATGAAAAAGGTTTATAACGGTAAATGCTAGATAGCGCGCTTTATTCATATAAAGTACTCTCGATGATTCCAATTTTACACGCTTGTTCTTGTAATTGTTGTCGTTGTCGTCGTTGTCATCGCTGTCGTATCCTCAAATCTTGTAACTCAATTTTAACCCACTTCCTAATGTGGTATCGACTGCACACTTGGTATACTTATGGCATACTGATGACAATACTATATTCTATCATAAAAAAAATTACATTATTTTTTATGTTATGTTTCGGCTTAGGTCTAATAGTCCACGCTCAACTGACGTTGGCTGTAAATCACCACGGTCCCTTACGTTATGGCAAGCTTCGGGGCCACTTCCTGGAGTCGTGGAGTTCTGTTATTACTCGTAGATTTAATGAAAGCGTGTTTAAAAAAAGTATTTTTATATTACTTATTAAATGGAGGCCATGGACTGCGCCACGGAGCTTTTATCGGTAAACAAGGTACCGTATTTACCGTTTAATACTTCGCGCTACCTTTACCCTACCGGGTAATTCTTCCGAGCTACCTTTACCCTACCCTTGACCTTACCCCTTGGCATGTTGACACCTTTACCCTTTTACACGGTAAAAAAGGGTAAATTACCTTACCTTGCTGACGCCTACTCCCCACCGAACACCGAGCTACGCCGCGATTGGTTGGCGATGTCGGGGAGGGTGGGGGGGAATGGTAAACACGCCCACTCATCCAACTGCCACCCCCCCCTGAACGGCGCGCTGTCCAACCAAGTTCCTACCTGCCCACTCCGAAGGAACGTGTTAAGGGCACCACGGGGTGAGCAGCCCCTCCCCACCCAGCCCCACCCCTCCCACCTCCCACCCTCCCTACCTAGCCCCACCCTCGCCACCCAGCCCCTCCCTCCGAACCCAGCTCCTCCCTGCACGACGGACGGACAAAATAATCCCCTGTGTGCTGGTGTAACCAGGAGGTTACTACCAGTAAAAATACAAATAAATAACGACGATGTCATTATTTCAATTCCTGTGCGCATACAGCGGGAATATGAATTACAATTCACTTCTCAACATTCCTGAGAATGTATTGGTTGGACAGACGGGGCGAACGGACAGACCGAATCATTATTCCTCTGTTTAAAAAAAAATCCGCTTAAAACATTAAGTTATCATCATACCTAAAATCGGGGGATAATGTTTCCCAGTTTACCAGAAACCTCAGCCTGGATCTGGCCTTGGGGTTTGGGGCGCCCATTGGGTGGTTGGCCGAGGGCGTTGCCAGTTGCTGGCAGCAGCTGCTCTAGGGCCGCTCCTCTCACTGAGTGCAAATTCATTTTGGTAAAAGCGATTTTCTGCTCACGTTTTGAGCGAAAATTGGTGAACACAACGACGCGTCCTTCCGGGTTATAAACAGCTCATTTTTTAGTATTCACATAAATAGGGAATCCAGTAAGTCAATACATAAAATAATAATTGTAATAATTACCACAACAATTGCGCATTTGCAACAAACATAATCAAGAACTGCGTGTTTACATTGTTTCATTCACTCTCACAGGTGAGAAAAAAATAAAAGTTTGCAAAACTAATTTTCGATTGATACTTTTCGTTTACTTTCTTCCCGACAGAAAGGAAACTCCAACAGCTATTAGAATGATGAAGGTGATTTACAATTTTCATTCTTTATTTTCAGGTTTGTTATACATTACTCTCGTAGAAGATAAAATTACATTCGGTACGTCACATTCCGTAATTTTGAGTTCATTCAGATGAATCCAGAAGAGTCGCAGACGAAAGAAGACGTCGATTAAACGGAGGAAGACGGCAGAGGTGGCGTCATCGACAAAGTCACAACACAGTGGATCGTTTACGACGTGAAAATACCCGTCACGTGACGGGCAATTACGCGATGCTCCTCACCAGGACTAAAGCGGGAAGTTATTTTTCCCCAATAACATTCCTTAAATAATGATCAAATAGAGCAAGTCAAGATCTATAAGTATCTTGGGGTCATCCTTGATTCAAAACTGAATTTTTGAAGATCACTTGATTATATTGGTAAAAAGACAAACATATAGTTTTCTGTATCGACACCAGCACTGCTTCCACCCTATGTTCCGTTTGGAATTGATAAAAGCTACCGTACTGCCTCTACTTGATTACTGTGACATCGTGTATAAATCAGCCCCAAATACTGCACTGAGAAGCTTGACTCAATGTATCACTCGGCCTTAAATTTGCACTGAACTGCCCATATAGGACTCACCACTGTGATCTCTACATTGGGTCAAACTTAACATCTCTTAATGTGCGACCGGCTTGTGCACCAGATCTTTTTGATTCATAATGTACTTCCAAAAAATCCGCAGATTATCTGCGGGATTTCCTCTCAGTTTCAAAGAACAAATTTGACCTAAGGTCTTCGCTCATTTACCAACTTCAGATTCCCTATTGCCATACAAATACTGGAGGAAGGGCCTTTTCTATTGATGCCCCCAGGGTCTGGAATGCTATTGCCAATAAACTGCAACTTGAATCACTACCTATGATATCTTCACTCAAAACTGCTCTAGAGGAGATGTACACCCCGAGCTGCCACTGCTATTTAGTGGCCTAAAATAAAATGTTTCACTCCGGACTTGCATCCCACTGGGATTTTTGCACACAGCGTTGGTGTACGGTGCTTTTTCTGCAATGTTTTGCCGTCTTTTCTTGGATTTTCTGTTTGCAAATAGTCACATAATCACTTTAAGATGTTTTCTTGTTCATGTTCTTTTGTTTGTTGTGGTTGCACCCGATTCAAGAGCCGAATGGCTCACAGGGCTATACCTAATAAATGAACTTGAACTTGATATTATATTAATATCTATTTTTCTTCTTCATTTTCAGATGACATTGAAAAAATGGACAGGAAATTGACCAGAGACGAACGAGTTTGATTGTCATTCGTATGCAAAAGAAGGCAGCTGTGACTGCTCATTCGTACATCGTGCATCAATGTAAACAGAAGTCAGTTTTAACATTTGTTAAAACAAACAACATAATGCTTTGTTACCTGTTAAAATAAAAATGATGACACTATGTGGCATGACTTTTGGGCTACCCTCTATAGGTGACGTTATGAAGGGCCAATTGTGATGTGCTTTGCAGAAAGGCCATTGCCTGAAACGTCGCTTTTTATATCTAACCACACATGATATATTATTACACATTATTATCGGAATCAGAATAGATATTTAGACTGGAGGAATCCGATGAGTTATAAAGCTCTTTCGTATAGGTGTCCAGTTGGGGTAGGTAAGAATGTTACAACAACGAACAATATCAACACATGATAGGAGTGCAAAATACAGGTTGGCCCAAAAGTTTCATTCATCGTGCCACTGAAATTGCAACGTTTTAATCATTTAGTCTAAAAGTTAACTTTTTTTGTTATTATAATTAATACCATGACAAAACAATCCTCTGTGATTTGTTTAAATAAATCAATAAGATCTGTGTGTCCTAACTTGTGGGCCACTCTCTATCGG